GATATAGGCTTTCCAATCGATTTCAGCGAATCACAAAGAGTTTTGATGTGTGCTAAGTATTCCTTGATGGACTTTGAGCCTTTCTTCATCGTTTTCAACTCAGATCTGAGTTGACGAGCACGAGATTTCATAACTCCATGAAACAGCTTATGAATATTATTCCAGGCCTCAAAAGAATGCTTAACAGGTAAGATATCATTGACAATAGATTCAGAAATTGTTGACAGAAGCCATGTAAGTAACATTTGATCTTGATTAAGCCATGCAATATATTCTGAGCTCAATTGATCACTCTCTCGATCTTCGTCTGAATCAAATTTAAGAGGAATTTTTGGATTAACAAGAAAATGATGCAACTGATGTGATGTGATTACCGGTTCGATAATTTGATTCCAAAAAAGATAGTTATCTTCTGTCAGTTTGGCAGAGATCTGAAGGTTAAACAGAGAAGTTGTCTTGATCTTCATTGACGAGGAAGTAGATCTGGAAGATCGTTGATTCTGAGATTTAGATCTGGAATGTGGTTGATTCGAGTCAGATGCGTTTGAATCAGAGTCGGAAGCGGAAGACATAGTGGAGTTCTAACTGGATCAGGCCCTCAGAAAGAGAGCTCTGATACCATATTAGAAATCTGAGAGTTGCATGAAGAAGAGAGAAGAAGATCAGAGAGAGAGAGAGAGAGAAGAGAGTAATCTGAAAAGAACCCATTTGTATTATTGAAGAATGAAAAGTTACAATACGTTTCAGATACAAGATGATATATATACAAACTACAAACTGATGACTCAGCATTGAAGCTTACAGCTGTCACACACTTAGCTTACAGTTGTCACTCTAACTAACTCAGAAGTACACTAACACATTTACATAAGCTAGAGTCTAATACAATGAGACCTATAGCAGAAAGCTACGCTAATAGAGTTCTAAATTTTCGAGACAATAATGCTCTAATACCATGTTCAATAACATGGAAACAAAAGGCAAATGTTTAAATCCATGAGTGTCAATAGCACAGTGGAGGCTCTATTATATAGAGTGACTATAACAATTACATAGGACTAATATAACGATGTGGGACTTCTTAACAACATATTTTCAATACTTCACACAAGAATAACGCCCAATAGGGATTAACTAGTAGGAGGAGAGGGCAAAAGAGATTTAAGATTCACTTTTCTCCAATATAGTTTTACCAAATGCGGGTAGAACCTAACCCCCCGAAAAGCAGGTAGTGGTATAGCGCAACAACTAAGTCTGCTGGAAGTCAGTCGCTGGTTGTCGAATGGGCATGTAAACATTGAGTCAAGAGTGAGAAAAGAGCTTTATGGTCTACAAGATTGAGAGTCAATGTACAAGAAGAGGGAGTCGAGAGATACAAATTGAGAGGGAGGAAAAAATGAGAACCAAGACCAGATAAAAGGATGAAAATCAAACTCCCAATAGACTTGATTTCAATATTTTATTAGAACCATAACCAGCCTAGAGCTATGCATGTAACCTCAAGAGGAGAAGTTTATAATGGAAAATTGTAAATGCTCACAAATCCGACAATTTTGAGTATTAAAATATCTGCAGTTCTAGTTCTCACGCAAAAAGTCCCAAACATCAAAATTAAGTTAGCCTGAAAGAAAAAGCCTTTAACAGTATGCCAACTCAAAGCACAAGGCCTTTGTTAATTCCTAACAACAACAAACAAACCCTATCAGACCCACTAATCAAATCATGTCAGAGCTCTATCAAAAATAAAATTTTCTAACCACCACAAAAACCAATACAAAATAAGGCAATAGGGCATAAATAGCCTTTTCTACAATGACTCTAATACGAACCTTCGGTGGCAAGTCAGTCAAATGGATACCATGACAATATATTTGTCAAAACAACGATTCATCATATTCGCTTTTGAGTGGGAACAGAGGGAAAGAATGAAGTCATTGAGTGAATAGAACTTCCATTGTCAAGGAACCGAGAGGACAAGCGGTTGATTAAGAAGGTTGCAACAAGAATGGCATCTCCCCAGCAGCAATTGGGTACATGTATCTGAAAAAGTAAGGCACGAGCAACTTCAAGAAGATGACGGTTCTTCCTCTCGGAAACCCCACTTTGCTGAGGGGTGTCTACACAAGTAAGTTCATGAGTCATGCCCAGATCTTGGATAAATTGGGAAAGACGTTGATTGACATATTTTGTACCATTGTCGGACCTTAGTTTTTTAATTCGTTTACCAATTTGGGTCTCAATCATTTTATAAAATTGAAAGAATAATTGTGGTACCTCAGACTTTTCATGCATTAAGTAAATGCAGGTTAGACGAGTGCAATCATCAATAAAAGAAACAAACCATTTATTATTAGAAGCATAAGGGACTTTAGAAGGACTCCAAGCATCAGAATGAACAAGATCAAAAGGTTCAACACTTTTAATGGTACAAGAAGGAAAAGACACATGATGATGTTTTGCAAATTCACAAACATCACAATGAAAAGACTCAATAGACTTGGACAAAAATAATGATGGAAATAAAGACTTAAGCAAACTAAATGGAGGATGCCCCAAGTGTTGATGATGAAACCAAATCAAAGAATCAATAGTAGACTGGCCATGAGTCAGCAAGAAGTGATCCTTAACACCTCCTGTGGAAGATTCTGGAACCAGATAGTACAGCTCACCCCGCTCCTTAACACTCCCAATTGTTTTCCCTGTGGTGAGATCCTGAAAGACACAGTGAGTAGGAAAGAGGTTACAGTGCAATTCAAATCTTTGCCAATTTTATAAATAGATAAAAGATTAGTGGAGAGTTCATGAAGAGCATTTTGGAGATGTAAGGAAGACTGTAAGAATATGTTACCAAAACCCGCAACTGATGTATGTGAGCCATCAGCTACGGCTAATGTATTGGTGCAAATAGTAGAGTTATAAGAAAGAAAGTAGTTCGCACAATAAGCCATATGATCAGTAGCACCAAAATCGAAAATCCAAAAATGTTTAAAATCAGAGCAAGAAGCAAGAAAAGAATGAGTAGTAGAGCTCATACCGGTCATAGCCAAAGCTCTAGTATCATATGTCTTACTCAGAGAATCAAGCAAAGTCTGAATCCGCTCCAACTCATCTCGACATATAGAAGTAAATTTTGAAGATGCAGGTTGTGCCTCATTAAGAGCAACAGTCACACCAGAGGAAACTAAATTAGCTTGACCACGCATCTTTGCCATCTTGTCCAAGTCATTTTGCTTTCCATGGCAGCAAAAGCATAGATCCTTGATATGACCTACCCTTCTACAATAGGAACACCAGCGACCATCTTTCTTGGATCTGGAGGATGCACCATCAACAGATTTGGTGAAAGAACCCCCTTGAGACAAGTGAAACAACAGTAGCCTCAGAGGATGATAGCAAAGCAGACTTATCTGATGTGTTGGGATGCATCACTCCTCACCCCGAACAGTATTGAAATTAGCAGAGAGGGATAGTAATGTATCTTTGCCAAGTATTTGAACCCGAATATGATCATATTTGGAATTCAACCCAGCAAGAAAGCCGAAATTACGCTCATCTTCCACCTCCTTGGCTGAGGCAGTAGCATCCGCAGTACATTGCATATTCAAACTTTGAAATTGGTCAAGCTCAGTCCATAATTCCTTCATAACACCATAACAAATTGTCACAGATAAGGAGTCCTATTTAGTAATAAAAAACATTTTATTGCGCAATTCATAGCGCGCAACCATATCTTGTTTCAAGGAATAGGTTGAGCGGACAGTTTCCCAAATCTCCATAGTGGAAGACAAAACCATGCAGTGAAAACCAACTTTCAAGAGTCATCGAGTTCCATAACTAAGTCATAATAAAGGAATCTCATTATCCCAGACAGCAAATTTAGAATCAGTGGTTGCAGGATTAGGGCCATCAAGATGAGCAATCTTATTACGACTCTTGATGGTAGTGCAAATAAGTTAAGACCATGACAAATAATTCGACCCATCAAGTCGATCACTCTGATGTAGAGCAGGAAGATCATTAGGACCAAGCGGGGTCGCAACAGGTTGTGCAACAATCGAATCGTCATTGGAGTTGGCCATAATGCAAAAATATAGATCAAAAAAAGCAATGGAAGGCACAAAAAACACACAAAAGCACACCCAAACGACTTCTGACTCGGGCGATGAACAGTGCGCGGTGAACAGCACGCGATGAGCAGTACGTCTGTAGACTGATAGATCTGGTAAAAAAAAAGTCAAACAAAGGTCCTCTCGGTCCAAAAGGTTCCCGAAAATTTTTCCGGTGGCAGCAAGTGGCAAACAAATAGGGTTCTGCTCTAAAGGCGGTAGTCGCGGAAAACAGAGCCCTCAGAATCGAGAGCTCTAATACCAACTTGTAAAATGAAAGGAAAATATATTACTGAATTGTAATTACAACTGTAAAAAGAGTTCTCTATTTAAAGAGACTAACTGACCTATTGGGCTAAGCCCAAAGAAGATTCTATAATACAACAATAAATAATAAATAAAATAATAATTATTTACAATAATAAATAATTAAATATTGTGAAATTTCTTATCATCAATAGGCGGGCATGTGCATTGTCCACCCTTCAAATCCAATCTGCTCGTTCGTAAGGGAGCGTGTTAGAGAAATATAATATAAAATAATTAATGTAGCCTAAACCTAACAACTTAAACTTTTGGATTAAATTGACACTTTATAACCATCCTCTACCACAAGGCTTTAGTAGATCGAACTCGGGAAAAACAATTATGAATTTAATAGTTATAGAGCACGAAAATGAAAGAATGTATTTATATTTTCAAAATTGTAACCAGAAATTTGGAACAAGCTACAACATATAATATTCATTTATCTGACAAATAGTAAAATTCAATCAAACAACACCCGGCTTGAGCATCTCTAACCAAGAGTATGCAACAAAACTTTACCTCAGACCATCATTGACATTTAAAATTGCATTTGATATTAGAGGTAGCTAGTGCTTAGTTGCTTACATTTCTCCTAGCAATGGAAAACATCTCATTGATCCTAGCTGCTCCACTTTTTTCACTATCTGTGAACTCAGCACCCGAAGCAAAAACAAAAGGCAGTCCACTTTCTTTTGCAAGTGTCCTAGCAAAAAGTGTTTTTCCTGTTCCCGGAGGCCCAGAGAGTAGAACACCCTGAAATGTGATTTCTCATCAAACAACTTACCTCATATCATGTGAATTCAAACGTAGCATTGAGGAGGATAACTCTCTATGCAAATATCAAATATTTTACCCGAGCAAACTGTACGTCCCTTTCATAGAACTGCATAGGATTTCCCATATAGATCATCAATTCATCAAGAAGATCCCAAACGTCGCCCCCTAACACAACTTCTTTGTACATAGATTTTGTTTCACCAACATCTCCAACTGGCTGGCAAATAAAAGAACATAACTAGTAATAAAACTTGCAGAAATAGAAAAATTAGCAGAAAAGGAGCGAGACATTTTATGAAAAATTCAATTAAGTGCTGTAATTTTATTTTGGTGGTCTATTTCTTACAGTTTATGAGAGATCAAAAGCTTACCATGATGAAATTTTCTGCATAAGCCATATCAAAGAGTTGATTATATCTTTTGAAAAGAAAACGCTTGGAGGTGACATGTAGAAGCATCACAGACTCCCTTATAAGCCAGAGAATTAGAATGCCTGGTACTAATGCAATCACTACCTTCATAAAATAATGGATCTGTTGCTTCTGAAGGAGATCTACTTCAGCTCCAGAACTTGTAATCATCTCAAACAGATAAGGATCAAGAGGGATATCAACCTACCAAATAAGAACTACGTTAATCAATAGATGTCCCCGAAGGGACAACAGCTGGAGAACCTTGGAGAGAAATTTGAGATTCTTGATCAGCCGTAACAACTTTTTAGTAACTTACAACAAATTCCATTGGAAAACCTTCTTTCATTGTCACATACAATCTTTTCAAGTCTTCAGTAAAGACAACAGCTGCTACCTGTTCAAAAGAATATAGCTCAGCAACTGCCAACTGACCTGATTTGTCAAAGGTAGAATGTGCATGGAATTTAACTAGACTTGAGGACTTCATATGATAATTAAAAAGCCGAGATATTCTATTCTAACATTCATATTTACAGTCAGCCATTGCAATTGCTAATTTGACTCCAAAAATTGCATTTCCCATTATATTACCCAAGTCCAAACATCAAGAAGATGCAACTGCATTACTATCAAAATTTAAGGTCATCTAGATGAACAGTCGTTACTAAAGATTGTATCAAGTTCTAATAAGGGTTACATTATCCACTAACCATTTACACTCATATGTTGTTAGAATACCAGTCTCAGTCCAGATTATCATATTAGTCTGGATTCATTAGCATATGTAGCACATGCTAGAATATTAGTCAACTATAGTTATTACTGGAGTTAATACCTGTTAATTAGATCTGTAATTAGTCCTTGATTAGATATTGTACTTAATGCACTCATAGAATAAATCAAATGAAACTAAGAAGACAACAAAACTAAGAAATTAATGAAAATACAAATGAAATCCTAATCATATTTACAGTATATATATTCTACCTAAATAGGAGATATAGGAAGTATTTCCCTAAATAAAAGATACTTTCCAACAGGCTTCTTAGTGATGCTCCATCGTTAGATTGTTGCCGCCATCTTTGCTCCTATTTTGCAATAATGTCTATTTTGGAATGTGTAATACGCAAATCCTATAGTGGCGTTATTATACTTTCTAGTGGAGTTTTGGTGGATAGTTTCTGATCTATTTTGCTGTGTGAGAGACCCAAGTTTTGGTTGGCTGCATTTTTATAACTTTAAAAGTACTTATATTATTTTGGGGTGTCCATATTTCAGAGGAGATTTGGCAAAATTTCAGTAGAAATATCTTTGGAATGTGGAACCTATAAAATATTATTATTATTGCTTATATTTGCTAGATTGTCTATCAATCGCAGCTTGGGGTGGATCATGACACATAAACGCTATTTAGAAAGATGATATTCTTACAAGGATAAGGAAAAATGTAGAGTACAATTATAGAAATGGAACTCACCTCAGAACTATCAAGTTTGTCAAGAAAATAATTGTAAGGAAGTTTAGGACGATAGCGCCACCATCTCTTAGCAATCCAGAGAGCCCTTGTTCCCCGTGTGGCTGTCACCTTTTCTGCCACATCCTTGCGAAGGCTATTTTCAACCTCTTTCATGTCAAACTCAACTACATATTTGGCATTTAAGGAATCCAATTCCTCAACAAGACGTTCTTTTCTAAGGATCTCCCTCCATTTATGAAGTCTCTCACGCCATGTGCTCTCAGTTTGAACTTCACCTGCTAAGAAATGTGTTCTATTAAGAATTAAAAAGATGGAAAGTATGCTGCTCCTTAGACAGATAAAGGGATGAAAATCAAACTACCAATAGGCTTGATTTCAATATCTTATTTGAACCATAACCAGCCTAGAGCTATGCATGTAACCTCAAGAGGAAAAGTTTATAATGGAAACTTGGATATGCTCACAAATCCGACAATTTTGAGTATTAAAATATCTCCAGTTGTAGTTGTCACGCAAAAAGTCCCAGACATCAAGATTAAGTCAGCCTGAAAGAAAAAGCCTTTAACAGTATGCCAACTCAAAGTACGAGGCCTTTGTTAATTCCCAGCAACAACAAACAAACCCTATCAGACCCACTAATCAAATTCATTGGGATCAAATCATGTCATTGAGCTCTATCAAAAAATAAAATTTTCTAACCACCACAAAAACAAATTCAAAATATGGCAATGGGGCATCAATAACCTTTTCTACAATGACTCTAATACGAACCTTCGGTGGCAAGTCAGTCAAATGGATACCATGACAATATATTTGTTAAAACAACGATTCAATAGATTAGCTTTTGAGTGGCGAAGCCAAACCTCGATTTCTCCATTAAGAGACTTTTTTTATTTTCACTCCACATTTTTAAGATTTCTCACCCGGAAGTCTCAAATTTTTTGTAGCATAAAAAAAGAAAAGTGTATAAAAGTAACAGTTTATGTTTTGTATATAAAATCAAACTGCAAGAACAACAATGACAATCCAATACATGATGTATACATATTTATTGGTATCATCTTATTTCAATGCAGAGGACACAATGAAATAAATTATAATCAGGAATGAAATGAAACATCAAGCTATGGAATGTTATTTATCAAGTAATGGTAACAACTTCTCAATGTACCCCAAAAATTTAAAAATAAAAAAGAACCGAAATTGTGCAAAGTAAAGAGAACCTGAAATGCCCAAGCTTTCTATTAGTTCTTTCTTCTCTTCTTTTTTAAACCTATCATCATCCTCTATAATTTGTTTTACATGTTCCTCGGGAGCTTCTCGATCATCCTCCCATGCATCCTCTCCAACATAAGAAGTATCATGAACAAGTGTTCCATCAGGTCTTTCAATAAGCTTTTTCATTTTCAATCCTTTCGGTGTTGTCTTCTTCCACATACCCTTCTTAAACCTGCAATTAAAGAATTAAGGAAAACCATGGATAAATGGACAGAACACATTAAAAGGTTCAGTATATGAATTGGCTTTATAGTTTAGGCTTCAGATAGGTCTGAAAATGGTCCAACGTCAATGGCCATCAGTGGTTGAAGGAAAACATTGGCAACATGATTTTAGGAATTTTAAGGCCGATGTCAGCATTATTAGCAAAAAAACACACAGATACTGATTCAAAAAGAAGATGACATTGTGATTGTAAAGAATCAATTCAACCCAAAAGCTTAAGCTGTTGGGTGAGGCTACATTAATGGCTTTATATATCTCAACACGCCCCCTCACACGAGAGCCCACTGGGCTTGAAGGGTGGACAATGCACAGGCCCACCTACCTGTGCGAACAAAGAAATTTCACTTGAAAGAAAGTGGAGGGCAGTGAGGATCGAACCCGGGACACAAAGCTCTACCATGTAAAGAACCAATTCAACCCAAAAGCTTAAGCTGTTGGGTGAGGTTACATTAATGGCTTTATATATCTCAACAGTGATTAAAGTGACCTTTTTTTTTTTTGGTTGATAGATAAGTTGTGATCATGGTTTAAATTGTGGTTGTAGTCACGGTTGCAGCTGCGGTTGCATTGTGATTACTGCAATTCTGAGCATTGCAGGTTGCAATTGATGTGGCTGTGATATTTTTTGAAGTTTTCAGCCATGAAATCTAATTTTTAAACAAAGCTGCAACATTGCGGCTGATCCAGTCACTGCAGTTACATTGCGGATTATTTTTTCGGAATAAAGATCACTCTTCAATTGTGAGATGATACCACCACCACTATAAATCAAGTCTGGTCCTCAATTTGAAACAACACATGAGGCATCATAATTCGTAGCTGATTATAAATGTTACATACGTCCTCTTTGATAGTCCAAGGCCAAGGTTATGGAACATACACCATCAAACATGTATTGGTCAAATCAAGAAGCCATCCTGTAGTTCAGTATGCCAGTGTATAGGTACAGGATTCAGTTTCTATCATTGACTTGTTTTAATGAATGAGTTGTCTAATTTTTAACAGGATAGGAATTCTTTTTCAATCAATTTGATTAAAATCTTAGTAGGAAACTAGTGAAAGATACATTTTGAAGAATTGAAGTTTGAGAAATCATCAATTTGATTTCTAAGAGAATTATGACAATAACAATTAGATATGCCAAAATTATATATAGCAAGAGTGCATGTCTTAAAAACATATGTGAATAAATGAGGATTTACTTACCTTCTAATGTTACTGGGGGAAGGCTCAGGAATTAACGCCTCCATGTAAGCTTCTGTCAATTCTTTTCTCTGGCGATTTATGTAAGGTGCTTGAATTGCTACATACACTCCTCTACAAGCAAATGCCAAAACAAAGATATAAAGAACTAATGCACCAATTCTCTTAGGTTCCCAGTTCTTGAGATTCTGGAACAAAAACAGGCAACATTGCTTTAGTTTACATTTATTAAAGAAAAAGAAAGAAAGAAAGAAAGAAAAAGAAATAATAATAATAATAATAATAATAATAGGGGAGGGATCTTTTGACTCTAGAGTAAGACTTACAACTCTTACTCCTCATCTCAACCGTTGATTTCCGTCCATCTAAAGGTTATTATTTATTTGATAACCGTTAGATGGACGGAAATCAACGGTTGAGTTGGAGAGTAAGAGTTGTAAGTCTTACTCTAGAGTCAAAAGATCCCTCCCCATAATAATAATAATAATAATAATAATAATAAATAACTGAAGCCAATTGTATGGACAAAGCAATCAGTCCACTTTTGCCATGCTGGTCCAAAAGTTGACATTACATCCCTTTCAATCAAAATGTTTAGCAGAATGCAAACGGTTCTAGGAGATAAAAATTACATAAATGCCAAATAATTATTAACCTCAAGCAATTGATCAAACAAACACAATCTTGTGAGAATAAATTTGTATTAAATATCTGCAGAATATAGCATAAACTGCACACGCGTATGAAATGCTTGAAAATCAACCGTGAGTAGAACAGTAGAGACAGACCATAAACACAATTCTGTCCTATCCTGTCCTATCAAGTATGTAAAGGAAAAGAGATGCCTTTGAAATGCAGGCACTGCCACAAAATTTTGGCCAGTCACTCTTATGTTGCACTTGATTGTGGAAATTAGATTTTGCTCTCACTCAACAACCCCACAACAATAATAAAGGAAAACTTAACATTCCCACCCTTACAAAGAAGGAAAAAACACTCACTTCACTGAAAATAACACAATCAGTCATAGAGCAAACCCTATATATAACACTTCTACTTTTCCATCAACCAATCCCAAAGAACATTTTTTTTTTTCACTAGAAATGAAATTAACAGCAAAAATCCCAGTATAGCAAATTGAACGAGTTACCTTCCAACGTTCCCAACTGTTCCAATCCACAAACTGGGATACCCAATGAGTCCCAAACCTTCCCAATTCATCTCTACTAGTCTTCACACCATCCCTGACCCCACCCACAAACGCACCCACCTTCACACTACCATCTTCCAAGTCAAGACCCGTCTCCTTCTTCACCATCTCCCCAAATCTCACCCAAAACCGCCTCGAACCGCGCCGCAACGATCCGGACCAAGAAGACCCATCAGCGGCATCTGGGTCTACGTTGGCTGAAGCTTGAAACTTGAGCCTTCTGCTCCTGTGTGGAGCTGTTAATGTGAAAAAATAAGGATTCTGAGCAGTTGGGGTGAGTGGTGATGATGAAACAATAAGAGGGTTTGGCCTGTATGGAACGATGAGGTCCATTGGTGGGTTTCGGAGTTGGGAGTGGAATGAAAATAGGCGCGCTTTGAGCTCCTACAGACAGTAGGTGCTTCAGCTTCTTTATTTTTATTGATAATTGGGATTTTGGGGTTTAAGAGGTTTATCCATATTATATACATGTCATTTCCTATATTTAATTAATATAGAGTAATATTTTTCTTATATCACATCATAAAAATATTTTCTCTTATCCAAACAATAAATAAAAAAGAGAAGAGAGTTGGAGGAGAAACAAAAAAAAATTATGGGACCATTTAAAAAATATAAATGTAGGAGATAATATTTTTGCTATGTAACATAAGAAAAGTATTACCCTTTAATATAAAATATACGTGTGTTTAGATTTCTTAATTATGAACTAAAATGTTAATAATTTTTATGCAAAAGACAATAGTTTTTATTAACAATATTTTTATAGGGCTAAAAACTTTAGTGCTAAAATTGACTTTTGGTTTGGTAAAAAGAAAAAAAAAAGAAAAAATTAAAAATTAGAAGTATTAACTTTAACATTTGATATATTTCTCATTTTAGTATTATTAAAATGATAATTACATGAATTTTATTTTATATAATTACACTTGCTATTCCGGTGTTTAAAAAATTTTACAAATATTTCTTCTGCAAGTAAAGGCATGTCTGGTGTACAAGATAGGATAAGGCCTAATAGTATAAGACCTGATAGTATAAGGTCTGATTGTATTAGACCTGGTTAAATTTTAATATTATCCAACATTTGGTATAACACCTCACAATTTTAAATCAAGTAGTTAAAATATTAAGTGAGCAATCAAGTGATGGATTAGTGAAAATCCAAAAGATTAGGCCAAAATACAAAGAAAGGGCAAAACGGTAATTAGCCAACACGCAACCCTAGGAAGATAAAAATTGAGTAGAAGGTCTCAGATGGTAAAAATAACCCTGGAAATGGGTTCAGAACGAAAAATTGAGTGGACAGGCAAGTTTCAGAAAAATCAGTGAATAGTGTTTTTCGCGGGTAAAAATACCGCGGTACGATTGCACCGTAAAACGTGCCGATTGAGTTTTGAGCTCTAGGTTTCAAATATGAGTTAAAAATGGTCTAATGAGTTAGGAAATATGATTTCTTATAATATTCGATGAAATTAAGACAGTTTGGGGAAGCGTGCAATGGCGCGCATAATAGCTTAAAACAATGTTTTCTCCGAACGAATGGAGGACTCCTAATTCATCTGATCAAGCCTATTTAAAGGGGAATAGTTAATGTTAAAAATTTGAATTTCTAAATAGGTTGTGAATTTACGGACGTTTAGTGGAATCGGAGGAAAATTCGGATTAGTTTTGAATCGCGTGAGGTGGCAGTGGGACCCACCCCACTTAAGTGACTTAAGCCATATGTGCTTGACACTATTCATGCATCACTTTCCTCCCTCTTCTTGCTCAAACCCGCAGCCACCATAGCCCTTCCCCTCCAAGATTTCATTTCACCATAACTTAGCCATTTCTTCACCAAATCCATTGATTCTTGTCTTGAAATTTGATGGAAATGGCCTTCTAAATCCATTGGTGGTACTCCCAAGCCTTGAAAGCTACTAGATTTTGAGAAAAACCCTCCCCAAAGCTGCGGCCCTTTCCTTTAGATTTGTGAAAATGGTGTTGATTGATGCTCCAATGGTGGAGTATGTTTAGGAGGAGCCTTGTGCCAAGCTTTTGGGTGAGTTTCCTTGTGTTCCAATGGTTTAATTTTGTGGTTGAATTTATGAACCCTAAAGAGGGCTTGTTGGATTGATGTGTTTAGAGAGCTCAATTGGAAAATGTTTGTACATGAATGTGTCTTAGAATGATGTGTAGTAGCCATAAATGCAATAAAAATTATTGATGAAAAATGTGAATTTTTAACTTAGAAAATTTTGAGGTTGTCATGACTTTGAGTTTTGAAAATGTGTTAGGATTGGATTGATGAGTTGTTGTATGATTGTATGTTGATATAATAGGATTGTATGAGGTGTGAAATGATTAAAGTTGTATGGAAATTCCTTGGAATGCCATAGGGTAAAATTCGATTCTTTGAGGAAAGATTGAGGAATTGATGTTGAAAAATGATTTGGATGATGATTTGTGTAGTTATATGGTGCTTAGATGGGTTGTGTTGTGCTTGGAGAGTGTTTGAATCAATGGAAAAAAATGAATTGTGTTAGAGACCTAAATGAGCCCAGAATGAAATATTTCGCAAAACGATGCGTAAATGTCGGAAAACGGAAAAACGACGATTGAACTAGCCTCTAAACAACCTAAGGGAGTGTTATAAAATGAGAAAGAAAATTTAAGAAAATAAATCTCAAATTTACACCTACATGGCCGAACCTCCAAGGGGAAAAGGGGTGATTTGGCGATTTTCGCGTTTTGATGTAATTCGACGCGAAAATGACGAACCGGCACTTGAACTGGCCTATTGACGACCTAATGAGACGTAACAAAATGAGAAAGAAAATTTAGAAAAATAAATCTCACTTTTACACTACAATGGCCGAACCATCAAGGGAGGATGGGGAGGATTTTTGTGTTTTTGCGTTTTGATACTATTTGACGAGTACTGATGGATGTACGTTATTGTATAGGTTGCCGTACGTCGACCTGAATCCCGAATCTTGAATCAGTGAATTGCCCTTGGTCCGGGACCAAGTGGATTGAGGTAAGAAATTGGTTCATTGCATGTGTAATTATAAATTAACATGTATGGGTTGAACTGAGAGTGATTGGGAATGTCCTCTGTGTAGGCATTCCGCTGTGTACCGAGTTGAGGGATAAGCTGCTGCGGAGCTTGTGGAAACACGAATTAAGGTAACCTCTTGGTACTGAGGCTTGTTCCCCTTTTCTGTTCCACCTTGCCAGTTGATGGCAACGGTAGGAAGTGTGTATGAATAGTATAGAACACATGAGCATGCATGCATTATTGCTATGGGTACTGCAGTACCGAGTCTCTGGCCAGTAGACAGTTTTATTAGCCTTCGGGCATTTTCGGACTTCCGCTGGATAGGTCTCCAGGAGGGAGTTCCAGTTGACTGCGGTCATGGTGTGTGATCCGGGTAGGAGCACACTAGGAATGTCTTTGGCGTTTTGGTTGGTTTGGGCATCATGGTTGTGGTTTCTGTGAACACACCTTGGATGATAACCATAGGCTTATATATGCCGAGGGCGTACGTGGAATTGGGGTTACCATCCCGTATCGTCGTATTTTGTTTTCTTTATATTCCCCATTCTCTAAATCCCTTGCTATATCCCGTTTTCAAAGTGGTTGTTGTATTCTATTGATATGCATCGAAGTGAACCATTGGGTGGAGTTTTCTCCAGAACCTCTTGGTTACTGAGATATATTCGTATATCTCACCCCGTCTCGGGGCATTTATTTCAGGAGGTAGCAGTGGAGCAGGAGCCTCGGGCAAGAGGCCCGCAGAGTGAGCGCTGGAGCGCTTCATATTTTGCATTTTGTTGGCCGTGTGGCCTAGGCTAAACTTAGGGCATGAACATGTCATTTGTATTTATTAGTAGCTTCATTAGCATCTTGTTCATGCCATTTTGCCTAAGTCTAGTAGTGATGTATTTGGTTATGTTGTCTTTTAAATTAAGTTGAAATTTTAGAAGAATGTAATTTGAAGTTTTAGTTTCAAGTTGTAATTTGTAAAGCCATATAGTAATAGTATTGATGCATGTCTAATTATGATGGAAGGGCCTTAGGCCTATTTTAGGTTATGATAATATGTATGATGGAAATATGCATTAAAAAGGTGTTAGTGATTGCAACTACTTAAGAATGATTAATATGGACTCTATGTTTAATAACTATAAACTGGATTGGGTTGTAAGTGCCCCAAGGCGTTGTTGGTCCTTGTGTGTGCCACCCATTGGATTATTACTGTATTATCATGTGTTTATTAGGTACATTTGAGGTTTAAATGATCTTTTACGAATTTGGGATTATTGGAAAAACAAAGGAAACTCTGGCGAATTTTCTGTAGAATTGACAGATTTTAGGCGAACTTCGGGAGAGCATATCTCCCTCCATAGAGGTCCCCTAGGGACGTGCCATACGCCATTTTGAAGGTTGAGATGTCCTCTACCTTGTGTCAAAATTTGAGGAAATTCTGGGTTGATCTTCGGCCTGAAAAAAATAGAGAAACACGGACTGCCCATGTGCCCCTGCACCGGAGGCAGATTCTGGACCGGATTTGGGAAATTATTTCCCGCTTCGTTTCTCAGTCAAATTGAGCGTGTGATATATCAAAATGAAGTTTGAGATGTCTCGTTTGTAGGATAAAAATTTGAGAGCAAATGCTTGAGTCGATTGAGTGCAGTAATTCGAGCAATGTGAGTGGTTTGGAGCTGTTTTTTGGGTTGTTTGGGCTAATTGCTTATCCAACTTCAAACGGCGATAACCGGAGCAAATGAGCTCCGAATTGAGCGTATGTTAGCTTGTTAAAAAGGGAATTAAGTAATACAAAAATATAATCTGAGAAGAAGGGTTGGTTGCGATCGGTTTGGTCGCAGAAAAATTTAGAGTGAAACATGTTCGAATTGGTAAAAATGTAAAGTTGGAAATAGGCTAAGTGAGTTTATGGGAACTCCTTAGTAACTCATAATAAATGATGTAAGTTATAAAAATAGTTGAAATAAGTCTTCCGCAAGAGTTTACGGTTACGGTCACAGCTTTTAATTATTACGCTTTTTATGATTTAAATGCTCACGTAATAGTCGGAAAAAATTTATTCTCGTTTTTTTAAATGAACTGCTGTGATTGTAACTGCGCTTAATATCATAATTAATGTTAACAATACCGGTACGTAACGGGCTGTTACATTTGGCATGGTATTGTATAAGATAATATATTATATAAGATAATGTATTGTCTAGTGTTTGGTAATTCAACATATACACAACATATCCAATGACTATTATAATAACCCTCCCTAGTAAGTCTTGAGGTTATATAAGGATTTTGAGAATGATCA